CAGAAAAGAATGTCATGAAAGTTACATGTACAATTACTTTTTGGAATTCTCCACATTTCCACAACAAACTGTCGGAGTAATGTGTTGACGAGTGTACATATGGATTTCCCATGGCAACTGTGGGAAATAGCACTTTCCATAGCGGTAGCTCATGTTCTTTATCACCTGAGAGATAAAGGGAGCTGAATCGCACTGTTTGATACATGGGTTGAGTAAAGTAAAACTGAAATATTTAGTTAACATTGTTAACATCACAGGGGAAACCTTAGTTCCTAAACAATGCGGGACAATTTACAATCTATGGAATTAGCCAAGCTGTAACTTGTCTGGTATTACTTTTTAAGTACTCAATTAGCATGCATCAATATTTTATTCAAACAATTGGTTTGCTAGTGACGCACTGAGAAAATACTGTTTGATAAGCATGTCGTGTTTTTCTGACACATGGCATGTAACACACGTGTTCATTATTTCTAAGTTTGCGGACACAGTTCTATGGCTGGATTGTACAACCCAACCAAAACATGATTGTCATCAACGGCCAATTAGGGACAGAAGGCTTTACTCAGTGCTAAGTGCGCTGTTGCAATGGGAGATGTCATGTTCATTCCTTAGAAATGACTGGTCGCGCTAATTTCCAAGAAATGACTTGGTTGAGTTCAAGCAGTGCAAAATTACAACAGGTTGCAATGAAATTATAACATTTTGAGGGTTATGTGACAAAATCATTTTAAAATTCTATATGTTTTGAACCGTTATTTAATATTTGAATATTGAACTTCAGTATTATTTGTTACATTACCTAAGTGAGTCCTTTTCGGACCATTGTACCCCTTTGTAATTTCTGGTTCCAAGAGAGCACCGAAACTTGCTGTCAAGGCGATGAACATACTGTGTTTGGATATTTGAAAACATTAGGTTTGTCTCCTAATTAAGAACAGCTTGCGATTTCTTTTGATTCCAAAGAGAAAAGTAAGGTGAAAGATTATTGTACTTATATAGCGACGTGTGTGTGTGTGTGCGTGCGTGCGTGCGTGCGTGCGTGCGTGCGTGTGTACTAGTCCGGCCTAATGCCGATTTTATAGCGCTAGCCCCCTGAGACACCATGCCTCAGGTTTAACATGAATGCCCCAGTCAGACAGAACCGATCAGGCCTTGTTATAGCGCCTGAATGCCGAGCGACAGGCAAAGTAACACCAAGAACCTTTTAAAGTATCTTGACGCGGCCGAGTTTCGAACCCCCGGCCTTCCACTCTCAGGGGGGACGTTCTACCATTAGACCACAGCGGCGGTCTGAGAGAGATACTGGCGTTTTGGTGGACACGGAGAGGAGGTATGTTACGCCTCACAAGCCTGTGGTGGATACTGAGAGGAGGTATGTTATGCCTCACAAGCCTGTGGTGATACACAGAGGAGGTATGCCACGCCTCACAAGCCTGTGGTGATACACAGAGGAGGTATGCCACGCCTCACAAGGCTGTGGTGGACACCGAGGAGGTATGCCACGCCTCACAAGCCTGTGGTGATACACAGAGGAGGTATGCCACGCCTCACAAGGCTGTGGTGGACACCGAGGAGGTATGTCACGCCTCACAAGGCTGTGGTGATACACAGAGGAGATGTGTCACGCCTCACAAGCCTGTGGTGATACACAGAGGAGGTATGCCACGCCTCACAAGGCTGTGGTGGACACCGAGGAGGTATGTCACGCCTCACAAGGCTGTGGTGATACACAGAGGAGATGTGTCACGCCTCACAAGCCTGTGGTGATACACAGAGGAGGTATGCCACGCCTCGCAAGCCTGTGGTGATACACAGAGGAGGTATGCCACGCCTCACAAGGCTGTGGTGATACACAGAGAAGGTATGTCACGCCTCACAGAGCTGTGGTGATACACAGAGGAGGTATGCCACGCCTCACAAGCCTGTGGTGATACACAGAGGAGGTATGCCACGCCTCACAAGCCTGTGGTGATACACAGAGGAGGTATGCCACGCCTCACAAGCCTGTGGTGATACACAGAGGAGGTATGCCACGCCTCACAAGCCTGTGGTTATACACAGAGGAGGTATGCCACGCCTCACAAGGCTGTGGTGATACACAGAGGAGGTATGCCACGCCTCACAAGGCTGTGGTGGACACCGAGGAGGTATGCCACGCCTCACAAGGCTGTGGTGATACACAGAGGAGATGTGTCACGCCTCACAAGCCTGTGGTGATACACAGAGGAGGTATGCCACGCCTCACAAGGCTGTGGTGGACACCGAGGAGGTATGTCACGCCTCACAAGGCTGTGGTGATACACAGAGGAGATGTGTCACGCCTCACAAGCCTGTGGTGATACACAGAGGAGGTATGCCACGCCTCGCAAGCCTGTGGTGATACACAGAGGAGGTATGCCACGCCTCACAAGGCTGTGGTGATACACAGAGAAGGTATGTCACGCCTCACAGAGCTGTGGTGATACACAGAGGAGGTATGCCACGCCTCACAAGCCTGTGGTGATACACAGAGGAGGTATGCCACGCCTCACAAGCCTGTGGTGATACACAGAGGAGGTATGCCACGCCTCACAAGCCTGTGGTGATACACAGAGGAGGTATGCCACGCCTCACAAGCCTGTGGTTATACACAGAGGAGGTATGCCACGCCTCACAAGGATGTTGTGATACACAGAGGAGGTATGCCCCGCCTCACAAGGCTGTGGTGATACACAGGGAGGTATGCCACGCCTCACAAGCCTGTGGTGATACACAGAGGAGGTATGCCACGCCTCACAAGGCTGTGGTGATACACAGAGGAGGTATGCCACGCCTCACAAGCCTGTGGTGATACACAGAGGAGGTATGCCACGCCTCACAAGGCTGTTGTGATACACAGAGGAGGTATGCCACGCCTCACAAGGCTGTGGTGATACACAGAGGAGGTATGCCACGCCTCACAAGCCTGTGGTGATACACAGAGGAGGTATGCCACGCCTCACAAGCCTGTGGTGATACACAGAGGAGGTATGCCACGCCTCACAAGCCTGTGGTGATACACAGAAGAGGTATGTCACGCCTCACAAGCCTGTGGTGATACACAGAGGATGTATGTCACGCCTCACAAGGCTGTGGTGATACACAGAGGAGGTATGTCACGCCTCACTAGCCTGTGGTGATACACAGAGGAGGTATGCCACGCCTCACAAGCCTGTGGTGATACACAGAGGAGGTATGCCACGCCTCACAAGGCTGTGGTGATACACAGAAGAGGTATGTCACGCCTCACAAGCCTGTGGTGATACACAGAGGATGTATGTCACGCCTCACAAGTCTGTGGTGATACACAGAGGAGGTATGTCACGCCTCACTAGCCTGTGGTGATACACAGAGGAGGTATGCCACGCCTCACAGGGATGTTGTGATACACAGAGGAGGTATGCCCTGCCTCACAAGGCTGTGGTGGACACTAAGGAGGTAAGCCACGCCTCACAAGCCTGTGGTGATACACAGAGGAGGTATGCCACGCCTCACAAGGCTGTGGTGATACACAGAGGAGGTATGTCACGCCTCACAGGGCTGTGGTGATACACCGAGGAGGTGTGCCACGCCTCACAAGCATGTGGTGATACACAGAGGAGGTATGCCACGCCTCACAAGGCTGTGGTGGACACCGAGGAGGTGTGCCACGCCTCACAAGCCTGTGGTGATACACAGAGGACGTATGTCACGCCTCACAGAGCTGTGGTGATACACAGAGGAGGTATGCCACGCCTCACAAGGCTGTGGTGATACACAGAGGAGGTATGCCACGCCTCACAAGCCAATGGTGATGCACAGAGAAGTATGCCACGCCTCACAAGCCTGTGGTCGACAGGCAGAGGAGGTATGTCACGCCTCAATAGGCTTTTCCACAGGATCACCAAAATGTCACTGATGAGCCGTTATCAGTAGAACAACCAAACGAGTCCGTCCCCGTTGAGGCCTCAAACCAGTGACATCCCCTCGCCAAGACATATGGATTCGAACTATGCTTCTTCTCCAGATAAAAACATACCCACTTTAGCGAACGAAGTTTGTAGTGTCTTTATTCGAGTCAAAATATGAAACATACCACTAAGATAGTTTTTAAAAGTAAATTTGAAGTATAACAAAATGGCCGAAACTATTAACTATTCACAATGGTAATCATAATATGTGTGTGAAATAATAGTAAACAGATTATTTTTGTTATCATGTTGGGTATCATATTATTGTACTGTAAGTCCCCATGGTCCCCAGTATGATGATCTCCCTTCAGTGGCTGACGATTTCTAGCCCATTTTTATATTGTGTTGTTCATTAACGCTTACTTTTAAATGTTCCGCAACTAGTTTTAAATCTTATCTGTGATATTCTAGTTATCATACTGTCCTTCGATGACAGGTTTTTATAAAGTCTAAATATATGTATATTTAATGTATAACTTCTCGTCACGGTATGGCTGAAATATTGCCGATGTGACATTAAATATTAACTCACTCACTCATATCATTATAACTTTGAAATAATACAAGTGACTTACACTATTCAATGTATAAGATGGTCTACTTGTTTAATGTGTATCCTCATACCTCCTTGTCAAAATGATGACAGCTGTTTCCTTTCAACTTTGAATTTGTTATAATTCTTTTACAATGTCATATTAAAACATGTCGGTAAGATACATTTGTTGAAGCAGCATCACTCGGGATACATGGGGTTTTAGGCGTATAAAACCTAACGTGGGACGCATAAAACTCCATGTACCCTTCGTCATCGTGCTGCAACTTCTAGTAGACCTTCTAGTAGACCGCCACCGTTGTCGCAGAGCGTAAGCTAGGAGAGCGGAAAGCCAGGGGTCCGATTCCCGGACGCGTCATACTAAAGATGGTACTTGTTGTTACCCTGACACAGGCACAGACACACAGCAGACAGACACACACAGACACACAGACACAGACACACACACAGACACACACACACACACACACACACACACACACACACACACACACACACACACACACACACACACACACACACACACACACAAAAGATCAGTCTATCGGTCTTCATATCAACAGTCAATGTATCAGAAAGAAACGCGTTAATATGCATAATATGCATGCATGCATGCAAACACAATCTTTACATCAATGATGCTTTGTGTTGTATAAATAATGTTTATGTAAAACGAAATATAACGTATTTTTTATTGGTGTCAGAGTGAAGTGATTACCACTGAGTAAGTTATATGTAGAGACATATATATAAAAACAAGACTTATTATTGACATATGAGCTGTAGCGATATGGTTATAATGATATTAGGATTATGGCAAAAGCATTAATCTTCAACTGATAAAGAAACATGCAGTCTTCATCTGTGGTTGCTGGTGACATCAGTGAGAGTCTACAGTTACTGTAAGTAACAGGTCGGGGTAAAGTGACACACAGTCGTCATCTGTGGTACCTGGTGACATCAATGAGAGTTTACAGTTACAGATCGGAGTAACGTGACACACAGTCTTCATCTGTGGTTGCTGGTGACATCAATGAGAGTTTACAGTTACAGATCGGAGTAACGTGACACACAGTCTTCATCTGTGGTTGCTGGTGACATCAGTGCAAGTCTACAGTTACAGATCGGGTTAAAGTGACACACAGTCTTCATCTGTGGTTGCTGGTGACATCAGTGAGAGTCTACAGTTACAGATCGGGGTAAAGTGATACACAGTCTTCATCTGTGGTTGCTGGTGACATCAATGAGAGATTACAGTTACAGATCGGGGTAAAGTGACACACAGTCTTCATCTGTGGTTGCTGGTGACATCAATGAGAGTTTACAGTTACAGATCGGAGTAAAGTGACACACAGTCTTCATCTGTGGTTGCTGGTGACATCAGTGCAAGTCTACAGTTACAGATCGGGTTAAAGTGACACACAGTCTTCATCTGTGGTTGCTGGTGACATCAGTGAGAGTCTACAGTTACAGATCGGGTTAAAGTGACACACAGTCGTCATCTGTGGGGGCTGGTGACATCAATGAGAGTCTACAGTTACAGATCGGGGTAAAGTGATACACAGTCTTCATCTGTGGTTGCTGGTGACATCAATGAGAGTTTACAGTTACAGATCGGAGTAACGTGACACACAGTCTTCATCTGTGGTTGCTGGTGACATCAATGAGAGTTTACAGTTACAGATCGAAGTAACGTGACACACAGTCTTCATCTGTGGTTGCTGGTGACATCAGTGCGTGTCTACAGTTACAGATCGGAGTAACGTGACACACAGTCGTCATCTGTGGTTGCTGGTGACATCAATGAGAGTTTACAGTTACAGATCGGGGTAAAGTGACACACAGTCGTCATCTGTGGTTGCTGGTGACATCAATGAGAGTTTACAGTTACAGATCGGAGTAACGTGACACACAGTCTTCATCTGTGGTTGCTGGTGACATCAGTGCGAGTCTACAGTTACAGATCGGGGTAACGTGACACACAGTCGTCATCTGTGGTTGCTGCTGATATCAGTGAGAGTCTACAGTTACAGATCACAGCATAATGACGTACAGCCTCCAACTGTGGTTGACAGGGGCATCAGTGTGAACGGTGGACGTAAGTAGTTGACACTGGGAAGACTGTGGTCTGTAGTTCACACCAACACATCCATCCGAATGCTTGCAGACATGTGCACAGTCAGGTAGTGTGGTTTCCATGGACACAATGCTGCTTCCCTGGCTGCTCTGCTTTCCAACTAGACGTTGCAAGGTCATTCCTGTAAATGAGATGATCACCTTGATTTAGTTGGCTCCATGATATATATGATAACTTCAAACACTGAAAGCATAAACAATTTGATCATGTAACCTTATTTTAAGAGTGATTTCATAGACTGTATGGTTTTACGGGTTGATCAATCTACTGTACAAAAAGACACTACTTGTCAAGTGAATGAGTGAGTGAGTGAGTATGGTTTTACGCCTCATGTGGCAGTATTCCAGAAATATCACAGCGGGGGACGCCATATATGGGACTCATACATTGTTCCCATGTCGGGAATCGAACCCGGGTCTTCGGCGTGACGAGCGAACGCTTTAACAACTAAGCTACCCGACCGGCTCTACTTGTCAAGAAGGAACAGGATAAATTGATGTCACATTATGCGTAATGGGATCAAATGGCCTTTTCCTTGCCCGCCTGCACGCCCGCCTTTCTCACTCACTCACTCACTCACTCACTCACTCACTCACTCACTCACTCACTCACTCACTCAGAGGATAACATACGTGATCTGTCAACTGCCATGACTTCCACTTCACACAAGGTGAGAATGTCATTCTCATGCGTCGATGGCTTGCTCACTGTAACGTAACGTCCCCAAGTGAGATTATAACAAGTCACGGTAATATTGGCGCCATCGGGAACAGCTCCAGGGTACTCTCCGCAAACAGTGGGTGTGGCACTCGTCTCCTCCATCACTGTAACAGTGAGGTCATGTAGACGGTCACCTGTAACACAGATACATGATAAAATAGACAGGATATACACACAAACCTATCTTTAATGTAAAGTAGACGGTGTCCTGTAACAAAGATACATGATACATGATACATGATACATGATACATGAATACAGTATGTAAAGGAAATTCTCCACCTACAGTTGAGTGTGACGCCACTCGTAACAATATCGCCTTCCCCACAGTCACTCGATGAGAGAAACATGATATAATTGTGCTTGTTGAATTATTTACATTTTAATACCTGACACGGTTTGTAAGAGAAGCATCATGAGGTGAGTTGTGAAATAGGGTTTTATGTCGCGTTCAAGATTATTGCACTTATATAGCGCGCGTGTGTGTGTGTGTCTGTCTGTGTGGCTGCTTGAACTAGTCCGGACTAATGCCGATGAACATGAATTCCCACTCAGACACAGTATGCTAACTCCGAGCAGACCAGTCCTTCTTTTAGCCCCTCAATTCCCAGTACCAGGCAGGGTAACAACAAGTACCATCTTTTAACGTCTTTTGGTATGACGCGGCCGGGAATCAAAAACCGGAACTTCTGCTCTCCGGGCAGACGCTTAACCACTTGACCACGGAGGCGTTCATAATCTGTATAATACCGTTATACCCTAGAATGTTGAATAAACAGTGTGAATGCCTTGCATGACGAACCTGCGTTCAATATCCCGTGTAAGTGATCATGTTTGAAACTTATAATAACGCCAGCCATAAAATGTTAAGTAGTATTCTGGATGTCAATTATGGTATGGTATGGCTTGGTGGTTATATACGAAACCAAAAAAGTCATCATGAATATTTTGGTGAATTTTTTGTTAAGTGAGGATTGAGCACACAATTTTATAAAATATTCATGATCCAAACTTATTTCTTCAGTATATGTACTCAAAGGGAAAAGTAACTATGATCATATACCAGTTATCATATATACTACAAACTCGCTTTTAAGTTTTAAGTGTATCGAAGTGTCGAAGTTAGACAACACAGACTTACGAATAATTTTCGTAAATTTGAACAAGATATGGCGGAAGTTATGGTTATGTTCATGCCAAGTTGTGTACGCAACAGATGTGTAGATGTGTACACAACAGATGTGTAGATGTGTACACAACAGATGTGTAGATGTGTACGCAACAGATGTGTAGATGTGTACGCAACAGATGTGTAGATGTGTACGCAACAGATGTGTAGATGTGTACGCAACAGATGTGTAGATGTGTACGCAACAGATGTGTAGATGTGTACACAACAGATGTGTAGATGTGTACACAACAGATGTGTAGATGTGTACGCAACAGATGTGTAGATGTGTACGCAACAGATGTGTAGATGTGTACGCAACAGATGTGTAGATGTGTACGCAACAGATGTGTAGATGTGTACGCAACAGATGTGTAGATGTGTACACAACAGATGTGTAGATGTGTACACAACAGATGTGTAGATGTGTACACAACGGGAAAGTTTATTGAGGGTCACACACTTTATTTTTACCTCAATACGCATTGAACAGTATCAAGCTGCTTGGTCTATCATGCCAACAGTGATGGTGCGTTGCAATAGGTTTGTGTTGAAAGAGTTCGCTCGTCAAGCCAAAAGTACTTTGTTTGAATCCCCATATGGGTACAACAAGGGAAGACCATTTCTGGTGTCCCCTAGATAATGCTAAAAGCAGAATTAATCAATAATCACTCACATACTAGTGGAGAGAACACAGTGTAGTTAATTTAACCGTATAAATAAAAGCGACAAACCATTTCAATATTCATAAGAATAAGAATGCCAAAAAAATCCGACTATATCAAAAGCATGATTCGCTATCAAATAGTGATAATGCCAGGTGTTCGCGAATAGGTGAGCTTATCCTGCCCCATCGGTGGCATCCGTCACGAACACATGCAAAGGCAAGTCAATTGTTCACCTGGAAACGGTATGGTACAAGTCAGAATATGGACTTTCAAGGGACATCATTTTGGCTACTGATGCCTCAAATTTGGAAATGTCCTCCACATGTTTACCATAAAACTGACCTCTGTCATTGTTATAAATTTTAATAATTTTCAGTTCGCAATAAGTTTCTATGATCGCAGTTACTTTTGTCATTGGAAATATTTGACTTTGCTTGTTAAAATGGGATTATAGCTTCGTGACAAAATGAAACAAAGTTAAATTACCAACATAATTTCTGTTCGTGATTCCAACAGAGGTCACATGATAGCTTCGGCCAAGGTCTACCCTCCACCATGGCATCCGATCAAAGTGCAGTGTAGATGCGCATGAGTTGCCGAAGAGGGGGTCATAGTTACCGTCTACGGCCTTATCTGCTGTCGACGCATTGTTGAACAGAGAACTCTGACTGGCTGGTTTATAGAGGGCCACATTGAAAGTTGAACAGGACACCACTGAAAACACATTAGCAATAGATAACGACATGAAATAGTACCTGTCATAAACTTTGGTATTAACCTTTAGCCTGCTGAATTATTTTCACACGTCTTACCCCTGCCTGCTGGATTAATATTAGCATAAGGCGCTCTAAAGAGGGTGAGTGATTTCAAACAGTTGGTGCCTCATTAAACAAGTGCCAATTGAAGAAATATTTTGCACATTTATTCCTCATAGAGAACTACACAGTACTATATAAAATTATCCCGATGTTTTCAATCATACCAAGGTTAAGGCCAAAGCGAACACAAAATTTGTAAATTTTCTTGAACTTACCTGAATTGCGTTATTGAAGGTGGTTTGCATTTCATGCTAGGAACCTTTTAATATCGTAACACTTGCAAATTGATTTCAATAATCATATCTCCGACATCTTAATTTTAATTGAGTAAACATTCGGTTTTTTTATCGGCATATAACAGCGCGATGGTAAATTATTAACCATTTCAGTAAATTTATTATCTGAACTTTAAACAGAAAAATAACTTAATTTTCGAGGTCATCATGTCGGTTGCAGAAATACGAACATTCGGGTTAAACTGACGTGTCATGTTATAAAATTTGCAGGAAACAATTAATGACTTATGAATATTCCCTAATCCTAATTTCAAGCGTTTTGGTTGAATATTTACGATATACAAAAATAAACAACCGGTGTCATGATGCTAGCAGACGTCCTAAAATCAAACATGGCGCGCTTCGCCCGACCCCCGCATAACTTATTGTTATTTTAATATCAACAAAGTTTACATTGCCTTTATAAATATAACTTGGCGAAAGTTGACGATCTTCTCAATCGAAGAATGTTTTATTCGTCATATTCCGATTAATATGACGAGAGGAAAACGAAAATAAAGATCGTGAATTCTAACAGCACTATTTCAGTAAGTGCAAAGGTCACCGGATGTGATGTCACAGACAGGGGTAGTCTGCTGATAATCTTTCGTAACAAAACAATTACAGTAAATTTTGAAATAGTTCGCCTATCACATGCAGCAAAACCATAAGTCGATACACAGTAGCAGTAATCACCACTAACATGAAATAAAAATGTGACTTTAACGATATAATTCGCGTATTAGTTAATCCGTTTGACCTTGCATGCTCCCGTGACCCGGAAACGGTAGACGATAAATCAACATGCCTCATGCAAGTTTCTCGTTATCTTTTATTTGAACTTTTGTTGATATTTAACAATCATCATTCAATGTTACGGTGAATATAAATGGGACATGATTCATATTTCTGCGATGTACACGCTGATAAGTTTCACTACAACAAGTGTATCCCACGTAATACGTCTATGGATATCGTCGATCAGCAAGATCACCCTCTCCAACAGGTGCGCGAAAATTGGCTTGACAAAACGTGTTTCAATATAACATTCCCGCGTTGATGAATATGATAGGGTACATATAAGCAATAAAATGCTACGGACATATTTTCGGTGTTAGTTCTACATTACATTTGGGATAGTTTTCCTTTCGGGAATACATTCATAGATTCTAGCATGATTTTAGAACAGTTTCATGAAGGATTTTTAAATTTATTCCAAAAATATGAAGACCACCATGATTGCGTATTGATAATAGATTTGTAATTGTTTAATTATTTACATCTGTTTACAGGTTTTAAAATATTAAGTTATATTTAGTAGTTATTCTTTTCCACAATGATTGTGTGTGTGGACAGTAAATATTGGTCTTTGCATCAGCACAGTGTAACTGATCAAACTTAAAGTTTAAACATATTTTTTCAACAATTGTGATCATTCACTCTGAAAATCAAGTATGTGAATAAGTAACTCTCTGATGTCATCATTTTAATTTTAGTATTCCATGAATAATGAATAAATCAGATCCTTAACACATACACACTAAACTCATATGGACATTAATCTTGTGCATTAAGCGGTTTGTTTCCAAATAAAACAATTCTGAAATATAATTTAATAGGAATATGATACATTAATTACAGTAACAGTACATGATATTATTGTTTGTTTAATCACAAGAACCATGGTAGCACATAAGCTGGTAAGTTAGCTATATGTTTCTAAGAAAATGCTATCTCAGTCTTCTGGTTGGAATGAAAAGAAACGTGCCTGTGTACATGTTTACCCTTGCCAGGTGTATTTTGTCCAGTTAGCCAATCCATTACTTTTGTTCACCTTATGTTGTCTATTTTATACATACAGGTACTGCTTCCAACCTGTTTTTCCTTTGTATGCAATCACAGTATCACAACTTCCTCAGCTGGTGTGTATAAAAGTTCCCCTGTCATCATGAAAAAATAATTATAAAGGAAAGTCATATTTTCATTCAAAAACATATCTGTCTTTCCTTGAATACTCTTTGTCTAAGTGCCAGAAATGTCAGTGTCATAAAAAAAAAAATTAATAAAGATTTTCAAAAGGACTTTTCTTAGATAGACCTAAGTCAAACCATGTGACAAGTTAGGTAGAATTATAACTTTAAAAGCCCTCATTTATGAGGTGTCCATATTTTTCACATTTATATATATTTTTAGGACAAACCGTGATCCGTGTAGATCTGCCTGTTTTGTTATTTAAAACAAATTCTTGTCTTAAAATGAGAAAAGGAATCATTCAGACGAATTTTTTTATCCCATTGATTCACGAAAACCAGTTGAAATATACAGTGGTGACTTTTGTACCCAAAATTTCTAGTGATTTGGTACCCAAATGAGTATGTGATTTTGTAGATCTACCTAGAATTATTTCAAAGATATACATTAATTTTGGTGTCTTAAACTTAACATAATATCACTTTCCTATCAAAACAATACTTCCTAACTTAGGTTTAATCATGTTAACTGGCCTCTTCTTCAGTGACAAGACGTCAATTTTCTCTCAAAACTAAACAATCAATTTCAAGGATCACAGTCATAATCATATTATGAACTTCATGAAATATTTTATTATGTGTTCTGTTCATCTACATGAAAACATAAATATAATTATCGATCTATTGTCTTATTTTCTTAGGTACAAATTCACAAAGTATTTTGGGTACAATTTAATTTGTTTTGGTAAAAATCGCATAGAATCTATATATATTTACACTACCTCCATACAGTCGTCGTGTACCAAAGTTTTAATCGGTTCAGAGGACGGGAGGTTCTCAGAAAGTTTTCAACAACATCTTTTATACTTTAAATTGTTCATTTTGTAATGTTAGACCAATAACAATATTATGTTGATATTATTTTGGCATATCAATACGTTATATCGCTCTCCGTTGCGTTCGTTTTCAGAAAATATTTTAAAATTAAAATCATCGAGCGTGAAATCCATTACGGTTTCGGATTTAGACTTACACATTTGATGGCGACAATCACGAAGAAATATGAAACAAATAGGAGTAAAGACTGCTCCCCAGATCAATAAATAGTAAAAAGTTGACGAAAAATAGTAAATTATGTATTTTCGGAATTTCTTTATGATAGTTTACCAACTTTTGCATATTTTGCTTCCATGTGTCACATGCGGTACGTGCTTCCGGTTTCAGAAATGATAGCTAAAATTGCAAGTAATTTGATTATTTCTCGTAAACTGCATTATTTTTGAATATTGAATGGTTTCAGTTCAGATTTTGCGTATCATCCAATATTTGTCATTTTTCGCAGTGTTTGTTGACTTTGTTCAACTCAACAAATTGCGAGTTAGGCTACGCCCAAACGTGTCACTGACGTTTGTCGGCTTGTCAAAGTATGGTTTTACGCCTCTTTTAGCAGAATTCCAGCAATATCACGGCGTGGGACACCAGAAATTGGCTTCACACAATGCACCATAGTCGGGAATCGAACCCGAGTCTTTTGCTTGACGAGCGAATGCTTTAACCACTAGGCTACCCGACCGCCTCGGTATTAACTGTAGTAAACTGAGCTACTCAATGACATGATGTAGCAACTGTCATGAACTGTGGCATTAATGACATGAAGCATTAACTATCATAAACAAGATATGATTAGTACATTAACTGTTATAATTGCCAAAGGATTTTAAAAGACCAAAGGGACCCATTTTATATAAAATCAATTTAAACAGGAGTTTATGACAAACATCTTGTCAATATTCTTTTTAAAATTCGTTCTGCTAAACACTTACGTCCTATCTTATATGGCATCCTTGCTATTCCACAGTGTTAGCTGCTAACCACACAAACCATTGTACTTTGTTTTAGAGTGGCTATATGAGTTAGCTTTTACGCAGTTGTTAGCAATATTCACGGCGGGGAACAACATAAATGGGCATCATATAATGTACCGATGTAGGGAATTGAACCCGGGCATTCGGCGTAACAAGCGAACGCTTTAACCACTAGGCCCTACATTGTGTTGGAATGAGAAACAGGGATATTTTTGTGATATTATGCAATAGAAAGCCGGGGACAATAGGATAATATTAAGTCAGAGTGGCCACTGTATACATGGAATCCGAGTAACTCTGACCCCGACAGTCCAGGGGATTACTGGAGGCCTTGTTTGTTTGGGCGGCGGTCGGGTAGCCTAATGGTTAAAGCGTTCGCTCGTCACGCCGAAGACCCGGGTTCGATTCCCGACATGGATACAATGTGTGAAGCCCATTTCTGGTGTCTCCCCGCCGTGATATATCTGGAATATTGCTTAAGGCGGCGTAAAACCATACTCACTCACTTGTTTGGTTTACTGTTTAAGAAACATCAATATTCCTGCTATATCAGGGCGTATTATAAATAATCGGGCCTGGACCAGAGAAAACAGTATTGTGAGCAAAGTCCAACGGAGTCGGGGTACGATGAAACACAATCAACCAAGTCAATATCCTGACCACCCGATCAACTTTGTCGCCTTTTACAAGCATAGGGTGATTGGAACGTATTCAAAACCGAAGACATTTATACATTAACAAACATATATTCCTCCATACCAACGATTGTTTCATCAGGAAATGTGTAAATCAGGACAATTTCCCTGAAAATGTTATCGTTCAGAGTGATGGGACCTCACCATAAATGGCAGTATAACAAGCAACTTACCTGTGACAGCGGTGATGGCTAGACATATTAATACAAACAGAGTTGCCATCATTGCGACAGGTTGACGTCTTCTACACATGCGGTGTCTCCTACACTATGGCTACACACACATCCCCTGGTGATCTATGTGAGGTACAACAATAGATCCTCATCTTGTCTCATAATCTGTGTGACATCTAGACAGCGAGCAGTTGGAGCACCTTGAAAGCTTTTACTCTGTGCCCCTGTTGACGCATCACTAGTTTCTACTTACAGATCATGAATATCAATTTATGTCAGTATGATACAACTTAAGCGAAGTAACGATTTAGACATGCTCAATGAGCATCTGTTTTTATGTGCTTTGCTTTGTTATTATCACTCTTAAGCATGAATATGGTACACAAAAGATCACTTTTATCTTTCGATTGAGGGAAATAGCTCCACTTAACAGTACAGTACTTTAACCCCCACCGCCACCCCCACCCCACCGTGGGAACCCGGGATAGACGGGAATGTGTCCTCAGCACCCAATTGCTGGTCGTAAAAGGTGACTGAATTGGGCAACACGTTTGCCTTGTGTTGCGCCCCTGGGTCGGTGGAGGACGAGAGTCTGAATGGTTGAGGGCACTGGAGCCAGGAACCTGTGCCCAACACATCACTTCGACCATTTCTTCACCTAGACTGATGGTAGAATTGGCCCGATTCTATCAATCAGCTGGTCACGCCATGCCCTGTACATGTATTGCTGGAGTAAACCACCCCTGTATCCCTAGTGCTCCTCTGCAGCATCGTCCTTTTTTACCCTCGATGGAGGGTGGGGATCAGGGGTGCCGAATTCTATTAACACACCATGTCTCAAAACCAAACTTCTGGTTCATTGAAAACCAATAAACGTCGCCAGGTGGACTCTTTGTCTGGCTGATATGACAGAAGAAGAAATTACAGCAGCATTAAAAAATAAAGGCGTTACCTCTGTCAAACGTTTCACTGGAAAACAAGACAACAATATAATCAAAACAAACATTTACCTGTTCACTTTCAGACTTTCCACTCTTCCAAAATTTATTAAATCGGTGTAGAGGTATATATACCTAACCCACTAAGATGTTTTAAATGTCAACAGTTTGGTCATGGTGTCAAGACCTGCACTCACAAAGTGACTGCAGTAGTTGCAGTGGTACTCATGAGAGCCCTGAGTGCACTAATAAAATCAAGTGTGCCAATTGTGATGAACCACATTTGGCATCATTAAAATCCTGCCCAAAATGAGTGAGTGAGTTGGGTTTAACGCCGCTTTTAACAGTATCCCAGTCATATCATGGCTTGGCCCAAAATTTGAACATCAGTCACAAATCCTCCAAGTTAAGTAACCAAAAATATCTCTTTCTTTGAAGCAAAAACAATAGTTCCCATTCAATCTCCACCCCATACTTTCACATATTCTGCTGCAGTTGTTTCTTCTTCTGCCCCTGCTCCTGTTCCAACTGCTCCCAAGGTTACAGCAAATTCTATTACATATGAAACAGTTATATCATGGGTGACAGATCCACAGGTCACGCTTGATGAGATGCAAAATACACAGACCAGAACATCAGCCTCTCACACAGAGAATCCACCACCAGATCCATCTGAACCACCATCTGAGCCATCATCTGGACATGAAATTTAGACAGTACCCGTGACAAAAAAAAAAATGAAACAGTTGAGAAAAAAGGCCAGGACACTCCAGCATTTGGAGGTACCTCCTTCTTCGGAAACCCCTGTAACCGTTCACAATCCGTTTGACAGCTTGATATGCACGTCACTCCATCACACCATGTACGTGAGAGTGGCCATTCCGCACGCTCTAGATCCCCAGTTGAGCCTCCATGAGTGGCTCCCTAAATTTGATTCAGTGGAATTGCAGAAGACTCAGGACATTTTTTAATGAGATACAATTGTTGGTACAGGATTATAAACCAGCTGCACTTCGTCTCCATGACATATATCTTAAACATACCAATATATTTGATTTCAGGCAGTACAACTGTCATCCTTCCTTTTCTCCGCCAGGGGATAAGGAGTCTGGGGGATCTTCTGTTTTTGTGACTCAGGGTGTCATTTATAGCCCTGTTCCACTTGATACAAATCTTCAATCTGTTGCTGTTCGTTTAACTTTGCATATAGTAGTTACTCTGTGCTCATTGTACGTTCCTCCGTCCACTACACTTCGTCAATCTGATCTTCAAAATCTATATGATCACCTCCCTAAACCATGTATAATCATGGGTGTTACGACGTAAATTGTAATAAAAAGGTAAATTGTAATACTTGCAGCAAATTGTAATAATTTTGACGTAAATTGTAATAACAACGCAAATTGTAATAAAAATTGACGTAAAATGTAATAATCTCAACTTGCGGTAAAATGTAATAACTTTTTACGTAAATTGTAATAACCTTATAAGTTTAGTGTCAAAGGCGTTAAATGACTAGAACCTATCCTTGTCAGGGTTGGTACAGGGTTTATCGTACAATCGTCATTAAAGTATGGGTGTGGGGGAGGATTGAGGTCGTTATCGTACATTGTTGTATAATTATATGTATATATAAACGCATTGGAATTTCATTTCTATGGTTGTCCAGGAGAGGATTAATTACTAGAATGAAATTAGTTTTCTTATTTATTTGAGAAATACTCTGTGTGTTTTGTATTATATTTTGACGAAGAATTCAAATGCAACAAATGAGTGACAGATCTCCTGTGTGCAATGTCAGATGAAAAAAACCCAGTAGTCATCAAATGCAGCATAGATTTCCCATCCATGGGAAAGGAGAATACTTAATACATAACATTATATACAATGTTTTTATTGATATCAAAAGAGGGGCGAGGATATTCGTTACCTGCATTGCATATACTATTAGATATTGTGTATTCTCGATCTCTGTGAACTTCTCACAGATAAAGAAATAATAATAAATAAATGCAAACCATGTTAACTTATGCAATATTTGTAGCAATGTATGATTAACATATGGATCATTAATATAACATAAAATATTTCCTTTCATAGGAAGAAGTATATTTAATGAAATAAATGAATAAATGTAACTGTCTGGATTCCTTTCATATGTCATGAAGAACTAACATCAACTTACTGACAACTTATGCTGGGAAAATAACTCCTTGCCCCAACAACAAAAACAGAATCCATCATGATAACGGCACGAAATCATAATTCACAAGCATACACAAATTTAATCCGGTATCTTCGGGCATGTCTTGTTGAGTTTCAAAGAGCATCAGAATGTATAATCAATTTGTTGCAATCAATTATTGCTGAAATAAAACTGTTTTGATCAAAATTGAAAGGATGGAAAATCTATAATGAAAAGGGTTTGTCACTAACGTAAACATTCTCTTTGACCTTATACGAAGAGTATTCTAAGATCATTAAACTCGGCAATCGTTGGTGGATTGCGCCAAGCAACCTTGATACCAAATTTGGTACCTCACGTATAATGCGGTACATAATTTTCGAAACAGATAATTACGTTTTTCATAAGTTATCACTAATTTGTGACATATATACGGACAAAAATTACCTCAGAGGATAATCTTCTCTGGGGGTTTAAGAGGATTAAAATAATTCCAGCTAACATCAAGCACTGTAATAAAATATTGAAATTATAGCATACCTTCTTAACTTTCCAATGAAAAGAATAGTGACTAACTAAGAAACCAAATTATATTTATCTCCGATAATATGCCCTCATCAGTATAGACACACACACATACATACACACAAACACACATATACACATATACACACCAACACACACACATACATACAAACACATACACACATATGTATGTATGTATGTATGTATGTATGTATGTATGTATGTATGTATGTATGTATGTATGTATGTATGTATGTATGTATGTATGTGTGTATGTATGTGTGCGCGCATGTAGGTGTGTATGTAATGACAGTTAATGTGAGCTCTATGTCATTGGTATCACATATATGACTGCACTTCTACATACTCTAGATGACAGTATCATGTACGTAGATGAAAGTATGTAAGTGGACGATAGTATCTAGATGACATACTATCATCTACGTAGAAGATACTATCATATACGTAGTTGAAAGTATCTTCTACGTAGATGATAGTATCTTCTACGTAGACGATAGTATCTTCTACGTAGATGATAGTATCTTCTACGTAGATAGGGGGCACGGGTGGCCCAGTCGTCTAAGGCGCCGCGATTCGCTGTGCAGAGTTGCGTCCCCTGGACATGCCAGAAACCTATGATTGTGGGTTCGAATCCCGGTTCGCCCCAATTATGTTTCTAGGTTTGTCAGCACCATACCCGTGCTCGTCGGTTTCACCGAAGTGGTAAACGTCTGAGACCTGCATCACTTCGGGCTTTCCTCCCACATTAAGCTGACACGCCGTGATATAACTAAAATAATAATAGAAGCGGCGTTAAACCCAACTCACTCACTCACTCAATTCTACGTAGATGATAGTATTTTCTACGCAGATGGTAGTATCTTCTACGTAGATGATAGCATGCCACAAACATCACATCACTTCCAATAAATGTCTTTCACTATGTTGACACCACCCTTTAATGTCGATTGTACGATAAAGCCTATACCAACCATCCATAACTTAACAGTTTTGTACGTTTGTCATCATACACAGTATTTCTCGAATTGTACATGTAAAACGCAAGCTCAACTGACAAAGATCATTTCTAGTCCATTGGCATGTTGGACACTACGGTAGTAAGGTTATTACAATTTACGTATGAATTGATTACATTTTACCGCAAGTAGAGATTATTGCAATTTACGTCAATTTTTATTACAATTTGCGTATTACAATTTACGTAAATATTATTACAATTAACGTTGTTATTACAATTTACGTCAAAATTATTACAATTTGCTGCAAGTATTACAATTTACCTTTTTATTACAATTTACGTCGTAGCAATGGGTGATCTGAATGGGCACAACCCTCTATGGGAAGGTACTTGAGGAATTCATTTCTGACAATAATGTATGTATTTACAATAGTACGTCAGCCACCTATTGACATCCTGCCACTGTAACGTATTCAACACTTGATTTATCTCTCACAGATTCAAACCTGTTTAACGACTTTGAATGGTCG